CTCAACGTGCTATACTGAGTCAGCACCACAGGCTCCTAATATGTATAGCACGCACCTCCACTTATCATCAGCTGCAGGTTATTTCACCAAAATAAAACCAAACCAACCAGATGAGAATGCATGTCTGACTGGCAAAAATCCAAGACTGAAATCAGACAGACTATATTTCATTCTAATTTACAGAATGAAATGAATACAATTTGTTTGCTAAGATTTCAAAATAAAAATATGATTCTACAAGTAAAAAATCAGTAGTTGGAATTTTAAGAACAATTTTTCTTTTTACATGTATAGTACAAATTATAAACAGTTTTTTTTAAAAAATCAAAATATTAAAAATTTGAGAAAACACATTTCAGTGATCAAATAAGTAAAATCTAGTCAGAAATACCTTTAAAAATTGTTCATAATTTGAGTAAAATAACAAAGAGGATTTTAAAACTGCAAAAAATCATGTTCCACCTATTAAATCACAGCAGCTAAATGCCAAATAAGATGCAACACTTCAAATGCAAGATTGTGTAGATAAATCTAGGTTCACACATATTAAGTACCCCATCTAGAGAAAAAATTGAATATACCATGTAGATGTCAACACCAAAGCTAAAAAACTCCAATGATATATTTCTCAAGGAAAACCTAACTAATTCAAAAGAACAAAATATAATGTTAAAGAATAAAACCGGAAAATGAATCTAGATGGCAGAATAACAAAAAACTCTATTTTTACACGTAAAAACTACCTTATGTTAGAAAACTGTTACAAATCTATGGCCCAATAATAAATGGTATATATTTGTTAATTACATCTATAACCAAAAAAGCATGTTTACATTTTCCTTATGTTCCCTCATGAAACTGAAAAAATTATTCCACCTACCAGAGTATACTAAGTATCTCTCTCCTCTCTTATAATATAGCTATGCGTCAAAAACAGGAAGATATTCATTATATTCAACTAGAGACCACAGTACAATTTTTTTAAAAGTCCAAATTAGTAATTCAGTAAATAATATAAACTGAAATAAAAACAAAGGCAGTAACATCAAACTGCAATCAACAGTATTAGGTGTCTGAGGCCTTGTCCTCCATCCAAATAAAGTAATTCTTTAAAAGAACAGTACATATCTTTACTAAGCTGCAATAACTCATGGAAGTCATTAAATGCAAGACCTACTGATTTGCAGCTGATCTGTTTACAGAACAATCCATATGGCTTTCACAGTTATTACTAATATTCCATTTAGAATGTAATCATGTTAAACATATAATACCACGTAATTCAATTATATTTCATTAGAATTATAAATTACAAACAGTTCCTATCAAATTAGTTAAATAGAGAACATTTTAATGAGGTGATACTGAGTACCTGAAATTTTCTTCGTCTTCATTATCACTCTGTAAAAGATCATCATTTAGCTCTTCATCTGACAAATCCGACTGATTCTAATTAAAATAAGAAATCTAATTAATGTGTGTCACTTCCATAAAAAGGCTTGTTACCAAAGTACAAAATTACATTGACTGGATTGTTTCTAACTTATGATACTGATATTAAAATGTCTGTCACCCAGGTTTTCTGGATATCACCAGTAGACAATCAAGAGATTCCATATACAGTATGCTCACTACTTCCATAATTTTTAGACGCCATAAAGCAAGAAAGTATAGAAGCAGCAAATGTAATGATCATATTTACTCTAACACACACACACACACATGCATGCAAAGTTAAGAGGTCCTTTGCTGGAGCCAAAAAACAAAATATTATTTCTATATCATACACAAAAAAGAAGGGTATCCTTTACTATATAAAAACATATATATAACACGTAGTTTCCAAATCTAAAAACCTTTTGAACAACACAAAAATTGTAATTTTAGAAACAGGCAGATTTTAAATAACTGAATCACTACACTGAAACAAGGGACTATAATAAAACTTTGGTTTTTCCAATATATACAGATCACATAGGAAAATAAATGTCAGTAGCTCAGTTCCTCAGTCCTGTTGTTGACAGTCCTGTGTATCAGTAAGCACAGACAGTCTAGCAATTCTGTCAAGAATTCCAGGTTTTAAGTTTAAAATATTGAGTATCTTAGATTTAGGGGGAGGGGGTACTTCACAATTTCCTCCCTTATTAAAATTATTCCTCCCCCTAGAAGATAGACAATTCCTCCCCCTAAATTCCTCCACAGTTCCTCCCCCTACAAGATAGACAACTCACATACACATTGAAGGGTGCAGGAAGTGACCAGAGGGGCGGTTCCCAAAATGGCACCAACACACCAGACAACAAAGGCCCTAGGTCCCGCTTCTGTAAGCACAATTCCTCACGCACGCGAATTTCAAACCTTCCCGCAAGCAAATTTCAAACCTGCAAGCCTCCAATCCGTAGCCAGCTTTGTTATGCGTCCAATAGGACTATAACACGGTGTTGGCCCCACCCTGCCCCCACGCAGCTCCTCCAATAGGAACGTAGCACGGCCCCTTCCGGCCCCTGTCAGGCTAATAAATACAGCTCTCTCCCTACAACTCTCTCTCGGTCTCTCTCTCTGTCGCTCTCTCCCTCTCTGCAGCTCTCTCCCCACCTCTCTCTCACTTCCTCTCTCTCTCTTACTCTCTCTCTCTTTTCTATTTTCCCGTTACAGATCCCCTCTGTAACAGCCGCTTTAATAAATCTCTTGGTCCTGGCCGGGTGTGGAGTCATTACTGGCGCCGAACTTCTTTCACACATATTTTTAAAAGTAAGGAGAAAAATCAACTTGACAGTCTACTTAAAGATGAAACAAATGAATAAGCAGTCTTTTACTGGCATTTACACCTTATAAAAATAGATTTCTCAAACCTGTCTATATATTCTTTATGAGGAGCTCAAGGGCCATCTAGTTCATAATTGTGTGATAAAGCTTGTTTTAAGTGTAGGTTGAAGCTTATTTTGAATGTATATTGAAACTTGTTTTTAAAACTCAGATGTATGCTTGCTTTCCCGCCCAAGCCCAGTAGTATACTTTTGGTAAACAAGTTCACATACCAAAAGAAAACCGCGGAGTCACGGTGTAGACCCTCTGGTCCCATTTCCTGCTCCACTCCCCTAGTAATCTCACATTCCAAATGTCCCAACCGGTTCCACCCAGCCCGCCTGACCGTTAATGGTCAGCTGCGACCCACGACCATACAAACCAACCAATCCCAAACGCCCCCGTACCCAGTAGGAGAAATTACCCAATCATGTGCGAACAAGTTTAAAGTTCTTTCCCCTCCCTTGTAACTGTGTATATAAGCTGCTTGCTGCGCTGGGTCGGGGCTCTCGTTCCTGTAGTGCTGTGCCGGTTACGGACGTGAGCCCAGACTCAAGCCTGAATAAAGACCCTTGTGTGATTTGCATCGGAGCTGGCTCTTTGGTGGTCTCTCAGATTCAGGATTCGGGTATAACATCTGGGGGCACATCCGGGATCCCAGAGACCCCAGCCCCCAAGACACCCCCAACCCAGAGGGTCCCAGCGCCGGCAGGTGAGTGCACTCATTCCTCTGTCTATCAGTGCGCATCTGTATTACCTGTAGGAATTCCACTCTGTATCCGGGTCGGCAGTGGCTTAAGCAGACGCGCTGGCGGGCCCTCGACCAGGGGTCGTGGGAGACATCCCGCAGCCCCGTCTGGAGGACGAAGTCCTCATCTGTGAGGAAAGTCAGTCGCCTAGGGGCACGGACTTACCCTCAGCTCAGTTTTACTTTTGTCTTCACAGCCACGGAAAACCACACTTTTATGTTGGTAGCTTCGCTTTGTCTGTTGTGTTTGTGGTTGTGTTATTGTGGATGGAAAACATGGGACAGGCGCTGACCACCCCTCTAACCCTGATGACTGACCACTTTTCAGACGTAAAAGAAAGGGCTCATAATCAGAGTGCAACCATCCACAGGAAAAAGTTTCAAACCCTCTGCACGTCTGAATGGCCGTCCTTCAATGTAGGATGGCCGCCAGAGGGCACTTTCTCACTAAGTCTTGTTTTGCAGGTTAAGCACGTTATCTTCCATGACGGACTTCACGGCTGCCGTGATCAGGTGCCTTAAATCCTCGTATGGCAGGATGTAATTAATAACCCACCCGCCGTGGGGCCAAATCTTTTATTCCACCTCAAACAGGGCCGATGCTCAGAGTCCTGGCCTCGTAGGAGACAAAGCCCGGCCGGCCCACGGAAACCCAAGGGTCGACTAAAACCCCTCTTTACCCGGTCCTGCAGGATGCAGAGCCTGAGGATTTACTTTTCCCTCCTCCCTATCATGATATCCCTTCGGCTCCCCCGGCGCCTAGAGAGGGCTCCGTTGGGGGCCGGGCCCCTGTTCCACAGGCGGAGGAGCCCCTGCGCGGACTGGTGGTGGGAACACAGGGACGCGCCAATCGGGCAGCCCCAGTTGCAAATATGGGACCCGCCGACTCCACTGTGCTCCCCCTCTGTGCAATGGGGCCTCCGGATGAAACTGGAGAACAGCCCCTGCACTACTGGCCGTTCTCCACCTCTGATTTGTCCAACTGGAAAACCCAAACCGCCAAATTTTCTGATAATCCCAAAGATTTAACTGACTTGTTAGAAAGCATTCTCTTTACCCACCAGCCCACCTGGGATGATTGCCAAATGCTTTTAAAGGTTCTCTTCACCATGGAGGAAAGAGAACGCATTCAGACGAAAGCCCGGAAATTGGTTCTGGGGGAGGATAGACAACCGACCCAGAATCCGGATTTCATCAATGCAGCCTTTCCCCTGTCTCGCCCTGCATGGAACTTTAATATGGCAGAAGGTAAGGAGAGGCTCCGGGTCTATCGCCAGACTCTAATGGTGGGTCTCAGGACTGCGGCACGCAAGCCCACTAATTTGGCCAGAGTATATGTGTTAGGCAGGATAAGGATGAGAGTCTGGCCGCTTTTCTGGAGAGAATTACGGAGGCCTTCAGGCGGTACACTCCTATGAATCCAGAAGCACCGGAGACTAGGGCAGCCGTTATAATGGCTTTTGTCAATCAAGCTGCCCCAGATATTAAAAGGAAGTTGCAGAGGGTAGAGAGGTTAGGAGAGAAAAGCCTTCAGGACTTACTAATAGTGGCTGAAAGAGTATACAACTGCCGAGAAAGCCCAGAGGACCAGCAGACCAGAATAAACAACCACCAGACTCGCAACTTAGCCAAAATTCTGCTGGCCACGACCACCAATGACCCCCAGGAGAAACAGAGACGCCTGAAAAAACTGGCTGCGGAGCCAGGTAAGGAGGGCAGTCGTCAGAAGGGACACCACAACTTAAACAGAAACCAGTGTGCATATTGCAAAGAAGAGGGTCATTGAGTGAAAGACTGTCCCAAGAAACACCCTAATCCCAGGGATCCAGGGGATAAGCTACACATCCTAAACCTGAGGGAAAACCTATACCCTGAGGACTAGGGGGCTCGGGGTTCGGAGCCCCTCCCCGAGCCCAGGGTAATTCTTAAGGTGGAGGGGCAGCCAATGCAATTCCATGTGGACACAGAGGCACAGCACTCTGTCCTACTACAACCACATGGAAGGGTATCAAACAAGATTCTGTGGGTGCAGGGGGCCACGGGCACTAAGCCGTATCCATGGACCACCCAAAGGACAGTGGACCTTGGTGTGGGTCGAGTGTCTCACTCCTTTATACTCATCCCTGAGTGCCTATACTCCCTGTTAGGCCGAGACCTACTCACCAAAATGGGAGCTCGAATCAGCTTTCACCCAGAGGGGACAAAGATTTTAAACAAAAATGGATATCCTATCCAGGTGCTCACTATAAGCCTGGAGGATAAGTATCGTCTCCTCCAAAGGCCACTACCACCAATGGATGATATAAACTGCTGGCTAGTTTTCCCCAAGCATGGGCAGAGACGGGGGAACAGGACTAGCCAAGCACCGGCCGGCAGTGTTCATAGAACTGAAACCGGGAGCCGATCCGGTCAGGGTGCGGCAGTACCCGATTGCCCTTGACCGCATGGGAAGGTATAGCCCCTCACATCTGGCGGTTATTAAGTGCGGGGGTGCTGTGACCCTGTCAGTCAGGCTGGAACACTCCCCTGCTGCCAGTGTAAAAACCAAACTCAAGTAAATATAGGCCGGTTCAGGACTCACGAGAGGTAAACCGGCGAATAATGGATATACACCCTACGGTCCCAAACCCCTACACCCTCCTCACCACTCTGCCCCAACCAGGACATAGTATACTGTGCTGGAATTAAAGGATGCCTTTTTCAGTTTGCCCTTGGCCCCAAAAAGCCAGGAAGGACATCTTTGCCTTCGGATGGACGGATTCAGAAAAGGGTATCAACGGCCAGCTCACCTGGCCTCAAGGACTCAAGAATTCACCCAACTGCCTCAAGGATTCAAGAATTCACCCAACTGCCTCAAGGATTCAAGAATTCACACAACTGCCTCAAGGATTCAAGAATTCACCCAACATTTTCAAC